ACACGGGTTAGTTTTGCCTAGGAAAATCCATACTTTGACAACATTTCTATTTGCAGGGGTTCCAGTTATCCTGAAGCTGGGAGTGTGGGGAGCATGGGAAAGTCTAGATCCAGATCCTATTTCTGCATTTAGGAGCTGGCTGTTTGGGAATGAATAGTACACCTCTCTGGGTCTCAGTTTTCTCATTTGTAAAATGCCAATTGTCTCAGTTACTTGGAGGATTGCTGTAAAGTAGATAATTTATGTAAAGTGACTAATGCATCAAATAATGGGTATCCCATAAATAGTAGCTCTTACATAGTGTAGATAATAACAGCAAGGGTAAATCCCCAGCTCCACCAACTTCCTACTGTGCATCTTCGAACAAATTCCTTGTTTGTTCATCAGCTCCCTCACCTGTAAAATAAGGATTATGGTCCATCCATTTATTTAATAAATAATTATCAAGTAACTTCTTATGTGCCAGGCACAACTAAATCTGTCATTTAGTATACATTAAGACATGCGGCGCAATGCCCAGCATATACTACCTGGTCGGTAAATGTCAGTTTTCTTCCACAAGCTGCAGCTGGAGGATGGGACATGGGTGTGTGTGGGGGAGAGGGGAGGTTGAAACAGAGAAGGGAAACTCAGGAGGGGCACAGGTGGAAGGCTGCACCTGCCCTGAACCCCCAGCTTCCTCCTTGCCCTTTCTTTCTTCAGTTGACAGGGACTCACTTTGTCTCTAAGGGCGGGGGATGGTGCTGGGTCTCTGAATAGTTTGCCCCACTTTCTGTCCCTTGGTTTCTGACCACTTCTGTAGACCAGATCATCTATCCTTTGCCTGGAAAACAGTGTCTCATTCTCAGACATGGTGGTAACTGCAATGTGCCCGCCGCATGAAAGTGGCATCAGGTGGAGGACCCCTGCCCCCACAAGGACAGAGCTGTCTCCTCACTAAGCTGGTCTCCTGCCTCATGCTCCAGGCTCCTTTCCCAGGGATCACAGGCTGGACCCACCACCTATGGGCTTCTCAGCCCTGAAACCCCACATCCTTCCATTTTTATTTTGCCCAGCCCTCATCAGACCAGACCCTCACAGAGAGTTGTATGTGTGTGTGAGCACCAGTGACATGAGACCTGGCATGGAGGAAGTCTGAAATAAAAGCTGATTGCATGAATGCACAGCAAATCCCCTCTGCTAATGGGGCTCATTCATTCATTCAACAAACATTTATTGAACCCATAATCCATTGGGCGCCAGGCTCTGTGTCGAGGGCTGTGACATTCAGGTTAACAGTAGCCAAGTTCTCCAAAGACTGAAAGGCATTCACAAGCTTCCTGCTCCCAACGCTCTCACTCACACAGACCCACCTGTCTCTGAGAGCCCCAGGCCCCTCCCTCGCACCCAGAGACCAGAGTGCTGGCTCCACCATGGATTTTGACTGCAGTAGATGTTTGAGTGCCGAGTCACTGACTTTGGGGTCGAATCCTGGTGCCATAACCCATGCCGGGCCCTTAGGCAAACTATTTAAATTCTCAGAGCCTCAGTTTCCTCATCTGGCAAACAGGCATAAGTAAAAATGCTTATCTCATGTTTGCCATGAGGAGTTAACGAAACAAACAATACTTAGAACAATGCTTAGTGCACAGTGCATGCCCGATGGACGTGAACTGTCATCACGACTCTACACTGTCGCAAGTGTCTGCCCCTCTCCGCCTCCTCCACAGCCTGGGTCAGCACAAGTCCAAGCACACAGGAGGCGGTCAGTGGGATCAGATCTGGGACATTCTAGGTAAGGAAACCCATAAACTAGCAAAGGAACTTCCCTGGTGTTCTAGTGGCTGAGACTCCCCACTCAAAATACAGCAAGCCAGGGTTCAATCCCTGGTCAGGGAACTAGATCCCACGTGCTGCAACTAAAGATGCCATGCGGGCTTCCCTGGCAGCTCAGCAGTAAAGAATCAGCCTACAATGCAGGAGACATAGGAGATGGCTGGTTCAATCCCTGGGTCGGGAAGATCCCCTGGAGGGGGAATGGCGACCAGTATTCAGCCTGGAGAATCGCATGGACAGAGGAGCCTGGTAGGCTGAAGTCCGTGGGGTCACAAAGAGTCAGAAGCAACTGAGCACACACATATTGCAACAGGCCTGGCGTAGACAAATAAAATAATAAAATAAAAATTAAAATGAAAAAGAAACCAGCCAAGGCTTGGAGACGGAGAAGAACAAGGAGGGACTGTGCCCGGAGGAGCATGAGGGTTGAGGGGGAGGTCTTAGGGGTGCTGTGACTGCTCAAGGACGGGGAGCTTACTACTCAGAAGCAGCAAGTTCTGTGGCTCAACAACTCTGACTGTTATAGCTCTTTTCCTCGGTGGCCACGTTCTCCATTTCAAGTCGTAAGAAAGTCATGGGGATCCCACTCCACTGGCAGCAAGGTCCAGACTGGATGTGGCAGAGTATGAAGGAAGTTAAGTAATTTGGGGAGTCTTCTAGAACAAATACCCATTCCCCCCACCTTTTCTAGGACACCCTCATACCTCTGCCCTATTTGAGGCAAGTAGCCAGGTGGTGGACCAAGGAACAGGTCTGGCTAACTGAGGGCTGTTAACAGGGACCACATGCAATCCCAGAAAGCCAGAGTGAGGGTGGGGAAGGGGCTCCCAGGCAAGGTCAGTGCCTTACCTGGGACTCTCTCAGAGACCCCTGGCTCTGGGTCTGTTTCTTCCTTTGAGAAATGGGTACTATTGTATAGGTTTCTTTTCCTTGACTGTTGTAAAAACGAGAGACTGTAAGTCTGAAACCAATCTTGCCGTTGGAGAGGAAAATCAAGTGTTGGAGGTAGCATTGGATGTCTTTCTTCAGAGCTAGGTGTGCCCATACCTGGGGTGAGGTGGGGCTGCTCTGGATTGCCCTCTCCTCATTGTCAGGGCAGAACCCAGCTGGCCCTGGGCGCTTGGCATTCATCCTCTGAACCAAGGTTCCATCATTGATCAGCCCCAACTGCCTGAGCATTTCCTGGGTCTGATAAATGAGTTTAGACCCCAGGTTCTCAGGCTGGCCAGGAAGAGCTAACCACCACACACCCCCCTCCAACGCCCCCTGCCCGGATTGCCACCCTGGAGGCTGCACCTTGACTAGATCCTTAGGGCTCTGACCTTAACCCTGGGCCTGAGGGGAGATTCCCATACTGTAAAGCAGACAGCCTAGGCCTGGCCCATCTCATCCTGATAGCATCCTCAGCACCTGTTCTACACTGGCCTGCACAATCTCTATCTTCCCCATTGCTGGGACTGCACAAGCACAGTAGTTGTTGCTAGGTTGCTCTTCATGCCCTTCTGGCCCCCCACAAGAGGAGCAGAGACCCCTCCTGACAGGTGGGTTGTGAATCTGTCTTAATTAAAATGTGCAGCAGGGAGGTCCCCAAGGAGTGGTGTCCTTACCCCCCTGCTCTGAACAAGGGGCAGTGAATCAAGCTACTGTGGGGGGCAAAGAGAAGCAGTGACCCGGGGACAGCTCCCAGTTGATGGAAGTGGCCTCTCTGCCCACTCCACTCAGGGGTCCCCACCTGGAAACCACTGGAATCTGGGTTGGGGTTGCACTGACCACACTGCATGCCCTGTACCCTGGCATTTACCAACTGCTTTCACATCCCCCATCTTGTCAAAGCCCCCTAGCCCCCGATGAGGTAGGTGAGGACTATCAGACCTATTTTATAGATGAGGTAGATAGGCTCAGAGAGGCAAATGGATTTGCTCAGCGTCACACTGCTGCTAGATGACAGAGCCAGGTATCGCCTACACACTGATGGTGGGGAGAGTGGTGCAGGCTCTGTGACTTTGGGCCAGTTACTTAACCTCTCTGAACCTCAGTCTTCTCATGTGAAAAATGGGGATAGTGATAGTTCCTACCTTGCCAGATTACTGTGAAGATTAAATGAAATAATGCTGTAAAATGATCTCAGCATAGTTGTGGCTTGGGGGCCTGCTCCATAAACGTGAGCAATGATTGTGATTATTATCCCAAGGGTACTCAGATGCTGCCCCTGTGTAGGCCACACCCCAGGTAAAGCCCTGTTACCTCCAGGCTCCCACTTTGTCTCTGCTGGTGTCATACAAGACCTGCTAAGCTGGGCTCAGGGTCCCGGTGTGGAGAAGCAGGGACAGAGGAGGGCTGCAGGACTCCTCTCCAAGCTGCCTGCCTAGGGAAGGGGACCAGGAGTCTGTCTCCGGCTCTGGTTCACAGCCCCATGGCAGTGGCTGCCTGCTTTCTTACGTGGACCTCAGGTCTGCTCAGGGCCAAGCGGGGACTGGCTGAGGCTCTTCTTGAGTCATCTCTAAAGGTCAAGGCTGCACATGGGAGCTGAAAAGATTGGGAGTGGTCCAGCTTCTTGAAACAGACCTCTGCCCAGCCCAGCCTGGCCCTCCAGGATCTGCAGGCTTCTGAGCATGGAGGCCTGATCATGCTAGTGTCTTTTACCTTTTCTGTGTGCTGGGCAACCCTGAGATGGGAGAAGGGGCGGGTTTGGATGCACCCAGCTAAGTTCGCCTTTGGGAGGAAGAAGCAAAAGTCAGCCTTGGAGTAAAAGCCATAAAAGGCATGGGCATGTGAGTGACCGGGCCCAGTTGGAGTGACACCTCCCCCAGACTCTCGGTCTGGCAGTCTCTTCCAAATCACCAACCACAAGCCCCGGCCTTGGACCTGCTGCTTGGGAGCTCGCCTCTTGCTCACAAATCCTCTTCAGGGCAAGGCCCAGACTGGCAGCCAGCCTCCACCACCGGGCTCAAGGGTCTGCAGGGGTGGGGGTGGGGGTCCCAGGTCAGACTTCCCCTTCCTCATTTCTACAAGTTTGGACACCCCCTTCAGGGGTTCTGCCATGAGAAGGAAGGGAGGGTGGTTCTGGCCACGCTTCCTGGGAACTAAGAGGTGAGCAGGCTTCTCATGTCGAAGATGAGCTCTGTGAAAGCCTTGGGGCCTGTGGGGCTGGATCCTTAGCATTTTAAAATTTTATTATGACTGCATTTGTTTAAATATATATATATATATTTATAGCTCTATGTGCCCACCGCCCCCCAGCCCCTCCCCAGCCCTAGTTTTTCCCCTTGGCTTTCTGTCTGGTGGCCGTGTAGGGCAGCACCGTCTGCGTGCTCTTGTCTGACACCGTTTGGGTACTGCTATTCCTCGTGACCCTGCGGGTCTGCTCGGGGACCGAGGTGGGGCCTGAGCGGCGTCCAGTCAGTGGAGAGCGCCTGGGCTTGTAGGGAGCCGGGGAGGGCTTGAGGGGGCCAGCAGGGGCCTCTGTGTGGGGAGGCTCCGGGGACAGGCCCACCTCCTCCTCTGCGGCCTCCTCCTCGGCGTCCCCCTCCTCGTCGTCACAGCACAGAGCGTGGTAGAGCACTTTGTCGCTGAACCGCACCCTTTCCCGCGTCCCCGGGGTCCGCTGGGGCAGCTGGCCCTTCACAGGGCCGGCACTGAAGGCCTCCTCACTGGAGGAGTCCGGGGTCTCCACCCGGGGCCCGTTGGGGATGGGCAGGCCACCGTTCATGAGCCGGTAGTCCGGGCCGGCCCCCGGCCGGGTCGACTCGGGGCCGTCCACGGAGTCTGAGGGGGTGGAGATGTCCAGGAAGGAACAGAACTCCCAGCTGTCTGAGAGGATGTCGGCCGTCATAAAGTCCAGGTGGCCCAGGTCAAAGGGGCCGCCCACGCCCGCCTTGTCGCTGCTGGAGGTGCTGCTCACAGTGGCTGTGGTCCAGTCATCTGGCTCCAGTTCAAAGTCGAAGTCCGAGGTTAGTTTATCGATCTGGCTCACCACCTGGCCGGGCAAGGGGAGAGGAGTGAGGGGCCAGCTTCACCAAGGTGTGAGTGTGCCCTGTCCCACCCTTGGTGACCCTACAGGACACAGGTGGACTTGAGTTCACAGGTTTGTTCGCCCTGTTGAGGGCCAAAGCTGGACCAGGGTGAACACAGCAGGTTTGGGCCATCCGCCTGTTTTCCACTCCTCAATGCCTCTGGGAGAGGGAGGGTGCCTTCCAGCCCTGCACCCCATCCATTCACACACACCCCCTCCTGCCCCAAAGCCAGCTGCTGTTTTGGGGGGCAGCCCTAGTTCTCAGAGTTCTCTTCCTTTGACTGGGGACCATTTCAAACAGGACTGAGAGACTCCAGCGAGTCCACTCAGTGGCGGGATGCCCACCCACCCTCGGAGAGGAAATGAGATGTGAGAACCACAAAAAGACTCTGCCCAGGCTTTCTGAAACATCCTGGACCGGCCTCTGCAGCAGGTCAGAAACTGGCCCCCATGGGTCTCCACCACCCCACCCCTACAAAGCCCCAGAGACTCCTCTCTCCTCCCCTTCCCCACTGCTTGATGAGTGGAGATCAATCCTGGCTTGTGGGGGAAGGAATAAAGCAAGCATTATTTGGTAAGCAATAAGAAAACCATCCATCCTGGGCCAGAGCAGATTGTTAAATGCACGTGGGCTGCAGAAGTCAGCGCACCCGCCTGCCCCTGGTCCGTGCAGGAGGCCCCACTTCAGGACTGCCCCTCGGTCAGCACAGACACCGGCAGTGAAGATAGTGAGGGAGGAAGGGAGACCCGGTCAGAGACACAGGGAGAGGACACAGCAACGGGAGGAGAGGAGATGCAGGCCAGAATCCAAACCAGCAAAACAACAACAAAAGCAAAGCGGAAGGACCAGAGACCCAGGGACAAAGACAGACGCAGTGAGTCATCAGGCCCCGGAGGCAGCTCCCAGCCCTCTCAGAGCTCTCTCCCTGGGGTCAGAGTGGTCAGTCAGTTCATTAACTAACAAAGTCCCTAATTCAACAAACCTTTACTGAAGACAACGGCTGTCCAGGGATGTGCTAGGGGTTCGGCAAGGAGTGGGGTTGGTGAGTGCTCCAGAGTACAAGAGGAAAGCCAGGGTGAAGATGACCAGCCAGAAGCCCGGCTCAGAGGGGTGTCCACCTCGTCAGGAGTCAGGGGCTCTGACGCCGGCGACCTGATTTAGTCGTTTTCCCTCTCTAGTTCTGTTCCTCAATCTGTGAATGGGGAGTTGGGTGGCTTATCTATCTCCAAGTTTCCTTCCATCTTTAAGGTTCTAGGACTCTGTGCTTAGAGGACTTGAGACACTCTTTGGGGGAGTCAGTGCCTAGGGATGCCCACTTCCCACAGCCCCAGACTAGGGGTGGAAGGAACTCTTGGCAGAGGCCTATGGAAGAGCTGGGGGCATAAAGACACCCGAGTTCCTGATTTGACTTGGACATAAAATGCTCTATGTGTCTTTGAATAACTCACATAACCTCTCTGGACTTCAGCTTCAGTCATGCCAAGGGGGAATGATAAACCCGGCCCTGCCAACCTCACTAGAGCTTCCTGGGGAGCAGTGAGAAGCCACTGCTCCCAGTGCCCCAGGGATGTCTGGGGGCACTGGTGATAAAAATGACATCATCTCCCAGCTCTGAGCACCTACTACGTGTCAGGCTTTCCACCCACAAGATCATCAATGCCTGGATTTATAGATGACGGGCCCAAGTGACCAGTCACTGGGGACCTGAGATTCCTACCCCCACCGACCCTGCAACACTGCACACGGCTGAAGTGCTGCCCTGATTTCTGGGCCTGGACAGCGAATGAGTATAAACTCCATCCTCCAGTCCGGTTACCCCTTCTTATGTCCTCCACTGCCCAGAAAGACTCCCATACCTCAGAGAAGCTCGCCCTGAAGCCTTTGCGTAAACGAAGCCCCACCTGAGAGCTAGTGGGAGCCCTGGCCTCGAGTAGGGGTTCTCAAACCCAAAGGTAGGGGCTCTCAAACCCAAATGCACAGAAGTAGGGGATGTAGGTATACACATAACTGATTCATTTTGTCATAAAGCAGAAAATGACACAACCTTGAAAGGCAATTATACTCTAATAAAAACAGACAAAAAACCCGGATGTGCATCAGCCAACTCCCAGTGTTCTATTCAGGAGGTCCTGGTGGGGCTTGAGAGGGGCGTATCTGACAAGCTTCAAGATGGTTCTCCTGCTACTGTTGGTGCAGGAACAGACTTGGAGGACTACTGGCCTGGTGGACTGGACTTCCCAGGTGGCACAGTGGTAAAGAACTCGCCTGTCAATGCAGGAGTGGCAGGAGACAGCTGGTTTGATCCTTGGGTTAGGAAGATCCCCTGAGGTAGGAAATGGCAACTCACTCTAGCATTCTAGCCTGGAGAATCCCACGGACAGAGGAGCTGGGAGGGCTACAGTCCATGGGGTCCCAAAGAGTCAGACACAACTGAACATGCATGCAATAGGCCTAGCAAACTGGGGATTTAAGCTGGTGAAAAATAGCAGCCCAGGCACTGCCATCCTCAGGAAAGGCCCTGTGCCTGTGGGACAGCCACACCCTCTAATTAGATTCCCCTGATCAAGCACTGCTGCTGAGAGTCTGCTGCTACCTGAGGGTGCAACGATGACAGTAGGAGTCTGGAGTCAAATGACTTGGCTGTGAGCTCACAGTGTTGGCTGAGGCCAAGCCCGGCCCCGAAGCTGGGTTCCTAACCCCCTGGGAGGAAGATGCAGGGTCCACAGAGCAAGAGCCCTAAAACCTTCAGATCAGGACACTCTGCCTGCCCAAGAAGCCCTTGCCAGCCCCCTGCTCAGGAGGCCTTCAGGTTGGGGCCCTTCCCCTTCTGATTCAGAACGCCCTTCTCTGCTTCCATTATGGGAGAGAGGAGGGAAGGGAAGGTCTGGGCTCAGGTCCCAAGCCTGCCCCAACTTGGCTAAGAGGTTTGAGCGGCAAGTGATTTCCCTCTCCATATCCCGTTTCCTCCACTGTAAAATAGGATGACACGCGTCTATTTGCCAGGTATTAGAGATTAGATAGGCATGTGCTTTAAACTGCAGAGTCCGCACAAACAAGCACTTAAGAATCTGGGCTCTGAAGCTAGACATAGGGTCCAACCTCACCACTTACAGGCTGTATGACCTTAGCTGAGTTGCTCAATTTCTCTGGGCTTAAATTTCTTCATCCAAGGAGAATTCTAGTAGAACCTGCTTGATCAGGCTCTGGTAAGGGTTTAATGACTTGATGCACAGACAGCACATAGAACAACACAGACCCCCAGGATCCGCTGTGCACCTGTGGGTGCTAACATGTGGCCAGGCCCCTGGCATCAGGTCCAGGGGCAAATGGGGGTCAGCTCTTTACCAAAGGAATGCCACTGTAACAGGGACATTTCCAGGGCCTGTGGCAGAATAATGGGACATTATTAGACCTTTCAAACTGCAGCACATGGGTGGCACCTATGTTCCCTAAAGTAAAGCTGTCTACAGACAGTATAGGAGAAGAGATACTGCAGGTCAAATAGTTGAGCCTCACAGGTAGATCTTGGTCTGCTCCACTGGGTGAGACATGTCACACTCACCAGATGCATGACATAAGTGGGGGTCAGAAGGGAGTGACACGCCATGGGGACCTGATGGTCTGCAGGGCCCGGGTCAGTCCACAGCCCCTGCTGCCCATCCCCGGTGCCTCATTTCACGGGGCCAGTGTGGAAGGCAGGAATGGGGCAGGTCCCGGGCTACCTGCCTCTCTGCTGTGGCTGTCTTGAAATCTATGATTTCTCTCTGAGATTTAATAATCATTTTGCCTACATGTAATTTGGGATTGTCTTGGAGTGCTGGGAAATAATTATATACACAGAAGGAAAGAAAGGGGAAGAGAGAGAATGGAGAGAGAAATAGAAATCACAGAACCACAGACCCTTGAAGCCAAGAGGGCCTGGAGCCACCATTGAGACCACCTTTCTCATTGTGCTTGCTGACGGGAAACTGAGACCCAGAGGCCAGGAGTTGAGCTGAGACTGGAAGTGGGGAGCTCAGAACAGGAGTTACCTGCTCTATAGGGGGCAAGAGTAAACACTAGATAGGAAGGGCAGGGTTAAGGGCTGCAACAAAACCTGCTGGGTCCCAAGGGTGTCCACAACCCTGTCCCTAAGGGTGTCCACAACCCATGTCCTGATCATAGCCTCAGCTACCCCCCTGAACACTGCACCCATCCAGTCTCCCCACTGACAGCAACTTCCAGTCCATCTCCCTTTCCATCCAAGGACCTTCCTAGTCAGCCAGCAGGACTACGTCACCCATCTGCTTCCCCCTCTTCCTGGCTCCCCAAACTCCTGAGCCTCCCAAACACAACCCAACACCAAATCTGATCACAGGTCCTGTTTTCTCCAGCAAGCAGTCTCCAGCCTTGCCAGGCCCACCAGCCCGACTCACTTCACAGAGCTCACTCGTGCCTCTGCGCCTCACCTGGCATGTCTCCTATCTTTCCTACTCATTCCTTCTCGCCTCCATAAGGAAGTCTTCCCTGACCCCCAGTTGAAGACAGTTTCCCTGTGAAAGGATCTCAAAGCACTCCACACCTCTCCTGATTTTCCAGTTCTCACTGCCACCATTTTATGTGTACATGTGATTGACGTCTGTGACCTCACTAGACAGGAAGCCCCATGAAAGGCAGGACTGGATCTGTCTTGCCCACCACTGCAGCCCCAGTTTAGTACAGGGATTGGCACATTCTTTACAGACACAGTTTTTGACTAAGTGCATGAGTTCAGAGAGAGGACTTAATAAAAACCACTTGGGGCTTCTTTTATAAGAAAAAGTTCCACAGTCTTAGACACCCCAACATTGCCTGCCCTAGCTCGCCTCCACCCCTGGTTGAGACCCCTCTTCAAGGAAAGCATGAATGTGTTCCCTAAGGCCCCAGGGTGAGGACCCAGGGAGCCCTGGAATCCGGTTATCCCCTCCCTGCTCACCTCTGGTCC